GGGGGGGGGGGGGAAGAAGCTACATGCCTAAAACTTCTTTCTAAATGGAAGTGCCGAGACAACTCATCTTCTCAATACATCGCATTGGTCGAATGTGACTTATAATCGCAAAATGCGTCTTATAAATTATAATGCAAGAATGCGACTTATAAAACGCAATGGAAAATATGGCTTATAAATCTCAATGGCAGTGCAACTTATAATTTCAATAGCAGAATGAGACTTATAAATCTCAAGGAATGTGTCTTATAAATTGCAATGTCAAAATGTGACTCATAAATCGTAATTTTAGAGCCTGTTTGGACATATAATTTTTTTTCCTTTTTTCCAAAATGTTTTCACTTTTTCCGAAATCAGCGTTTGTTCATAAAATTTCTAATTTTCACTTGAAGATGCATTTTGGAAAAACTCCAAAAAATTATTTTTCAAAATTTTCACTCAAATCACTTCAAAACTTCAAAAACAATCCAAAATTATATTCATGTCCAAACACAACTCTAAATTTCAAATATCATTTTCACTTGAAAAAAAAAATTCACCCTTTTTTAGAATTTTACAATTCTTATGTCCAAACGCCCCTTATAAATCACAAATTTATAAATCGCAATGTGCAACTACTTATAACGTGTTTGTCCAAGCTTCTCAAGAGGCCAAAAACGTTTTTTTTTTTTCAAAAGCACTTTTTTTCCTAACTTGAGGTGTTTGGCCAAGCTTATTTGGGGGAAAAAGTGCTTTTGGGAAGAAGCAGAAAAAAGTAGCTTCTTTCCAAAAGCAGAAGCAGTTTTGGCTTTTCTTCTTACCTAAAATACCCTTAACAAAATATAGTATATATCAAAATAACCCTTAAACCTAATACTTAGAATATTAATTTTTAAATATTTCTTCTTATTTTTAAGAAAACTTTCTAATATATAGTGACTTTAGGGGTGAATACTTTTATATTTGTTGAAGGAATTTTAATATATTTAACTTATATTAAAAGAATTAAGTACTTTTTAATTTTATTTTTATATTTTACTTAAATAAAATGATTTTTTTAATTATTGCATGTAATAATAAAATTTTGAGATTATTTATTTACTTATAATATTAATTATTAAGTAAATCTATTCATGTCCTTATTCATAATTTGATACTTAAAAAGCACTTTCTAAAAAACTTGGCCAAACATAAATTATTTATCATAAGTATTTTTCAGACTGATTAGCCAAACACAAACTGTTTCCCATAAAAAACTAGCCTATTAGTACTTAGTATCAATTATGAATGCGGCTAAGTCCTAAATATATACGGTCAATGCGGCAATTGTTGGACTTGCATTTTGTAAACCTGCCGAATTCCATTCCCGACGATGGCTATCCCTACACCACCGTCGAGCTCCGCCACTGCCGGCGGCTATCAGAGCCCTAAGAGATCGTTAGGTTTATTCGCAAACGCAATGAAGAGGAAAAACAGCTTCATACAATTCTTCGCCATGACAGGAATCCTTCTTCTTAGCGTACGATCGCTTGGGCAAAAGTACCGCATAAATGATCTGATGGAGGATAACGCTGCGCTAAAGGAAGAACAAGAAGGCCTTGTTTTAAGAATGAATAATATCAAGCAAAGCCTCCTTGCCGAAGCTGCTGTGGAGCCCACTGGTGCTTTTGCTTCACGCCTTCAACGCCTCTTTGGTGATGACAGTTGAAACAGTTGAGTTTTGTTGTTCTATCTGAGTTTATATTTCATATACATCTGATATAGGTTGTTCAATTATAAACAGAATCTATGGATTTTGGAATTTAGGATTATTGTAGACTGACCTAGAATGTTAAATGTGATGACTTTTGCCTTCATGTGTTTCAAAATTTATCATTTCTAAGGCGTTTTTTTGTTCTTCTTTTGAGTTTAAGTTTTATGCATTCACTGTGTAAAACGTATTTTACACAATCAGGTTAGTTAAAAGGTAACGACAGGTAATCTTATGTAATAAGCACTAATTGGTAACATACAGTAAATGATAAGTAACCAATTTTAGCAGATTAAATTACACCGGTGACGCATGTGTTAGATGGTATTATATTGTTCAAGAAAAATGCTAGGAAACACTTATGCATACTTCTAGCAGGTGATCGCAACAGCAGGTGAATTTATAAGGAATGTAACAATTGGTATTATCTCCAGAATGCCAACTCAGTCAATCAACTATGTGTCATTTTCTATCCATTTCGCTACGTCAAGGTCCACTTTAAGGCACACTAGTGGTTCTCTAAATATTGAGATTCTCTAAGACCTCATACGTGTAATCCACAGAAGATACAAGTCTATAATTAGTATAACTGACTCCTACACACACAAAAAAAAAAAAAAAAGAAGAGAATCTCCATGCTAGGGAAAATCATTGAGATGTTTGAAATTTCAAAAGTAGCATACTCTGTAAGTGACAACTTTTTTCCCCTAGGCTTTCATGGGGATAAATCTATGTCTCATGCCAAAAGGGTGAATTAATAGCTCTGATGGATTCAAGGTGGATCTTATAGTTCAGCTGAGTGAACTAGCTAAAACAATGTACTACCTAATAGGTAAAGCCTTTGTTTGAGTTTATTGTGTGATTGCAGCATTTCTAAAATGATCATTAGGTTGCCTATGCTTTTTCTGTTTCAACGAGCATATCCTTCCACTTCATTTCAGTTAGTGATGTGTCGTCTTTGGTTTAAATTAGTATTCCGTGGCACTTCTGGTGGGTAGAGATATTAGGAAATATAGGGCACACTAGGTGAATTCTCTCTATCTGCCTAAGTCTCGGGACAGATTTACTTGGTACATGTGGTCGGAGGTAGAAGTGCCCAATGAATTAGTTGAAGGTGCGCGCCATTGATCTAGACACCACCATTATCTTAAAAAAAAAAGATGTTTGCATAAATATTTGTTTCTCTCATTTGAAGCCTCCAGCATTAACTCTCACCATTGTTGATGATTTATGTTTTGTTATGAGATTGACAGCCGTACCATGTTCAATTCGATATGTAGTTAAAATTTCCAAATTATGCACTTTGGGCTGAGTTTAGGTATGCACACCCCGTATCTATCCGTTTGTCTGGCCCTTCAAGCATGTTGATGGTTTTGATTCTGTTGGAAATTTATCCTCCATCCAAGTTTGTAATTAGCAGGAAAAATTCGATAAGAAGTTGTACGATTCCTTCTGACATGAGGCTTCATTAATTTTGAATTAGCCATAGAGAGTGGCAACATTTGCTGGACTATTATGAATCACCACTTTATTTGATATTACACAAGTGGATTAACTTGTTTTAATATTACTATGAGAAAGCATTATACTGCTTGCTCTCTTAGATTTTGACTTATTGTTGTGTCTTCCATTTTGGCTTAAATGCCTTTCTGCTGAAGCCTTTTTTTCCATTTAGTATTCCACTTTCTGGTCAAATCATACTACAGATTGACCTGCATCTTGTTCATATTCATGCTGCCTCTCTTTTTCCTTTTCCATTTTCCCTTAATAGTACTATCCTATTTTATGTGAGCATGTGAGAAGGAGAGACATAGATGACCCGGTTAGGAGGTGTGAGAGGTTGACCATGGCGGGCTTGAGGAAGGGCAAGAGTAGGCCAAAGAAGTTTTTGGGAGAGGTGATTAGACAGGACATGTCGGCGCTTCACCTGACCGAGGACATGACCAACGATAGGAAGGTGTGGAGGTCGAGGATTAAGGTGGTGGGTTGACAGGTAGTTTGAGTTTCTACTAGGTTAACAATAGTACTAGTATTATTCTTGTTGTTGGTTGAATGTTACTTCCTTTTAGTTTGTTATTATATCTTGTACTTAGCAAACAAGTCCAGTGTTTTTGTAAATTGCTACTGGAAATTGTTGCTCCCTGATTATTATTATTTGATGCTACTCTTTCTCTCTTTTATTGGAAATTGTTGCTCCCTGATTGTTACTAATCTGATGCTACTTTTTCTCCTCTTTTTCCTTATCGTCTTTTGTCTCCCTCATCTATCTTTCTCCCCCCTCTTTCTTCTTCTTCTTCTTCCCTTCTTCCTTTCCACCTTCTTTTGGGCCGAGGGTCTATCGGAAACAGCCTGTCTAACTCCCCAAGTAGAGTAAGGACTGTGTACACATTACCCTCCCCAGACCTCACTTGTGAAATTATGCTGGGCATGTTGTTGTTATTGTAGTACTATCCTATTTTATGTGTTTCCCACCTTGGTCCCAGTTGCGAAGCCACCTTATGTTAAGGGGTGTCAATTACCAGAAAATTACACTGTTTAGCTAGGTCAAAAATCTATTTTTATGCATATATACTATATGTTGAATTCCCTTATTTTCTTCGTATGTTTTTTTTATTTTATATTTTGACACCCTTAGTAATATTTCTATCTCTGCTACTGCTCAGTGCTTGCTGTCCATTTTAAATACCATAGTTTAATTAGTATTTGTGTAATTGTTTTGTCTAGACATTTTACATTTTAATATTCTTATCCAATCCCATATTGTCCCATAAAATGTGGTAGAGGAAACACAAAAAAGAAATGCGAAAGGTTAGAAAAGTTGTTAGTCTATCCTCAGTGTGAGAGCTCTTATTGCCGACTACTGTTGTATTATGACAGTTTGAGTTGTTTTTTATTGTTTGAGCTTATTGAATGCGCCCATGATTTTTAATCCTCCTAGCAACGCAACATAGGCTTTTGGTGATGGACATTGGTATTAGGTGGGGCGCCTTGACTAAAAATAAAGCTCAGGAGTTGGAAGGAAGGTTATTGGCAATGGGAGCTTGGAGAAGTAGTGGGGACGCAAACACTATGTGGTCGACGACGGCTGACTGTATAAGGAAGGCGGAGAGAGAGGTGTTAGGGATATCTTCGGGCCGCACCGGTGGCCACAAAGGAGACTGGTGGTGGAATGCAGTTGTCCAAAGTACAGTGGAAGCGAAGAAGGCGGCGTACCTGCAGTTCGTAGGGAGTACTGGAGAGGAGGAGAAGAGAGCGAACAGTGAGAGATATAAGGTAGCTAGGAAGGAGGGGAAGATGGCAGTAATGGAGGCTAAGGCGACAATTTTTGCTCGTCTGTATGAGGAACTAGGGAACAAAGGAGGGGAGAAGAAGTTATTCCGACTCGCTAAGGTAAGAGAGAGGACGGCTCGGGATCTGGACCAAGTGAGGTGCATAAAAGATGATGACGACAAAGTTTTGATGGGGGATGACTAGATTAAGAGGAGATGACAGACCTACTTTCATAAACTTCTGAATGAAGAAGGGCATCAGGATATTGTGCTAGGTGAATTGAGGAATGCCGACAGTCCCCATGAATTAAGTTATTATGGGGACATTGAGGTCGATGAGGTCATGGAGGCAATGCGTAAGATGAGGAGGGGCAGAGCTACCGGGCCAGACGAAATTCCGGTTGAGCTTTGGAGGTGGGTGGGTAGACCAAGCTTGGAATGGCTTACTGGGTTGTTCAATGTTATATTCAAGACTAATAGAATGCCTGTAGAGTGGAGGTGGAGTACAATGGTTCCGCTGTATAAGAACAAAGGCGATATCCAGAGCTGTAACAACTATAGGGGTATCAAATTACTGAGTCATACCATGAAAGTCTGGGAGAGAGTGGTAGAAATGAGAGTGCGAAGGACGGTGTCTATTTCAGATAACCAGTTCGGGTTCATGCCGAGGCGATCTACCAAATAAGGTGGATGGTGGAACAATACAGGGATAAGAAGAAGGATCTCCACATGGTGTTTATCGATCTAGAGA